CATCGCGATCTACATCTCAAGTGACTACATCGTGAGACAAACGATAATACACTTTATTATTGCATCTACCACAATGAATAACAACAACCTTTTCCTTGATAAAGCTTGTAATATTGTTTTAACTGATGTTGCAACTGACTGGCAGAGTGCATCGTGCAACTATTTATTACAAATCACCAGAGTGCACAATTCAGGATCTTTCGAATCTCAGTTGACTCAATCATCATCATCATCATCTAGTCCTCTCAATCCCATGAGAGGCATAGGGCATCCACTGTTGCCTTCCACCTCTGTTGCTCTTGAGCCGCTCTTTTGGCCTCACACCAACTCGAGATGACCTCTGTCTGAGATCTTTCTAGATGCTTCTGTGTCATGTGATTCTCAGTCTGCCGCGCTTCTGTGTGCCTCGTGGATTCCAGTCCATGGTGTTGCACGCTATTTTTCTCTCAACATGCCTTAGTGTATGACCAATCAATTTCCAGTGTGTTGCTGACTTAATCACTCTCAACTAACATTAACCTTTAGCCTTATGGATACTGTATTTCCCAAACTCAAGATTATACAGTTATTAAATTAATACCTTCTTAGCAAGTCTCCTTGCCCGTTTTTCCTCAGGTGTCTCTAATGCTTTCAATATTTCTTTTTCCTTCCTAAAAAAGCAATTATGAAGTAGCACTTCAATTTGTAATTTAAACAATCAAAAACTTGCACAGAGAGAAATTTCCCTCAAACAAGGAAACAGTGAGAAAGTTAATGCAGGATGACATTTTGTACAAAGTGCTTCAACTGCATAATCATGTCCCTGACTGTGGGCCATTCCATTTTATATCCACGCGCTCCCCGCTGCCCCCCAAAACCCTAGAGCTGACATTTTCCGAGGGACAAACCCATATACAAGATTTTCTGAGAGGTTATTATTGAAAATGTTTATTTCTGAAGCTTGGGTAATAACAAGATTAAATTTCTGAGGAGGAGTGGAAACAGTTGCATCATCAACAGGGATAGAGGAATATATAGTCGAACCTCCAGTTGCAACCACCTCTCCTCAGCAACCAGAATTCCAAATTACCAAACGTTTCCAAGTCAAATCGCCATATTTGGAACCTCTTGTAAGCAACCACCTCTCCTAAGCGACCACGACCACTTTTGGAGCTAAAGGTTGAAATTTTCTTCTCTTTTTTAACCTCCCTTAAGCAACCACTTAACAGATAATAGAGTGGAAAATGTGCGGATCCAGAAAATATCCATACTCCCCCCACAGAAGGGATTGGAATTTCCTGGGGGTGGGGGATCTATGAGACCAAAAAATCTAAAGAAATGTATGAGGCTTAACTGGAATTTCCAGAGGGGTGGGGAGGTGTTAGAAAAAATCCCTTCCATGAGGGGGGTATGGATATTTTCTGGAAATACACAGTTGAATAATAAGGTGCTGTGCATAACATTATTGCATTTCTGGGATGTAAGAGATGGAAATTTCTCAATAGGAAGTACCATGTTTTTTCTCAAAATTGCCTTTTCATATGAAAAGAGAAAACTGAAAACTGAATGTGTGCTTCATTGGATTGCAGGGAGAGAAGGTACAGGCCTTACATTGTGAGTTCAGCGAGAAATATTGTGAGTACATGCTATTTTTGTGTGCAAATTTGATTCGTTTCTGAGGAGTGTTTTGTCTTCAAAAACTGGCCAAAGTTTCCTACCTTGTCTCTTATTATAACACAGTAGGATAAATAAATCAAAATTCGCTCAACTCTCGTTTAAACTCTCCATGATGAGAAAAAATGGCACTGTTGAATGTTCAAGAGTATTTATTCGGTAAGTTACCTATACATTGATCGATTTTACTGTCATCTTCTAATCTCCATACAAACTCTTATATTTCAGCTACACTTCTCCATACAAACTCTAACTTATATTACGCTTGGGCGACCTGTGGTTTCAGTTGACAACACGCACTTTCACTTCTCACCCCGAATACAGTAATTAACATGCTACCAAACAAATAATTGCTAAACGTGGAGTAAACTTGAATGACCAAGACACTTACTTTCTTTTTCTTTTGTCCTCGTCACTATCGGGAATCTTTTTCTTTTCCATCGTTGGTTTTGATCGTGACACGGGAGAAGTTGAACGTCTATCTCGATGTTTACGTCGCGGAGAACGCGAACGCGAGCGACTCCTGCGTTTTCGACTCGGAGAACGAGAGCCACTTCTATGTCTGTGCTTTTTTCTGTCACTTCCAGGCATGTCTTTGTCACAACCAAAGGAAATAAGTCAATAAAGAGCTTTCATCCCGCAGATCCTGCCGACGTTGACCGAGGTATTAGTTTCCAATCTCCCGTTGCTCTTATGAGCCCCTTGCAGCTCAGCAACTTCCCTAACTAAAAGCATGCCCATATGAACTTTGTGGGTGGGGAACTAGTTAGGCTCGGATTACCAGCCGCTGTTCGGGAAAGGAGGCTCCTCCCCCCCGAATTCACTCTATCTTCTCGGGGAGGAACGTAGACCGGACTCGAGAAAGCGGCCGAAATCGAGCCTAGGAAGCAGCTTGCGTGGTTAGTCAGAGTGGCTACTCCGGGAAACTTGGTTTGACTTCTGGAAGACTCGAAAGTGAAAGTGAAAGCGAAGGACTCCACTAAATTAAGCGACATTTTCTGTTGTTCGTCATCGTTTCAACGCTTTTCTAACAAAACAACGTGCTTCAAGGTGAGCTCTTGAACTTAATAGCCTCCCGTTTGAGTCACATCTAGCGAGCACACGCGCGAAGCGAAGACATAGGGGCATTAGCATCAGGAAGTAATCTGTAAGTTTTTGTCAGATACTTTATTATTTATCTATTTATTTTAATTTAATATTTTCTATAATTTTGTGAGGCACATTTCAAAACCTATTTTTGCGGTAACTGTCTAATTTCTTTCGCGCTGATTGGCTCAGTTTTATCATCAATAAGAGTACAGACGGATATAATTTTAATTTATGCAAGCTTTCAAGTTCAACTTTTAGCTGTCACACTGTCAACTTTTTAACCAATGAGATGTTATGGACTATTTTATGTAGCCAGTCAAAAAGCGAGAAAAGCTATTGACAATGTTCGTGTCATTTTGAATAAAGTTCACTTATCTTTGTTTACAGCAAGTTTACAGTGTCTTTTCCCGTCATTTATTCCCAGCATTTGACCATTTTGCATTGGGTCTTGTTATTGTAAAAAACAAATTGACATCAATTTTTATGCATCTGTCCTCTTGTTGATGATAAATTTCGTCATAACATTGTCAAAGTTTACTGCAGAACCACTCGCCTGCAGCTTGTGGTTCCACAGCCACTTTCTTTGACAATGTTATGGCGCAAATTATTTATCATCAATAAGAGGACAGATGCATGAAAAAACTGACGTCAATGTGGCAAGTTGAAAGCATAATATTGTTATTATTAAATTGTTTCTTTTTGTTATTTATTACTTCCTTGACATCATTTCACATTCAGCTCTAATATATAGATTTAGCCAAGTCCAAAAGCGGAGCTCTTGGGCCAGGTTGTTCAAAGCCCGATTAAGCTAACCCAGGATAAGCGATAATTTTGATTTGAGTTTGTAACTTTACGGTGTCGGTTTTCTGTTTCTGTTGTTTGGCCTTCTGTTTTGAGTTTGAATAATCTCAAGGTCCTCAAAATACCCAAAACAAAAGAAGAGAAAAATATTTGTATACAAGAAAAATTATACTTCAGTTAACTTTTATAATCCTGGGTTAGCGTTAACCAGCTTCTGAACAAAATGACCGACAAGTTAACCTGACACGAGCCCACGATCCAATCGAAAACTAGCACATGGACATGGACAATGACATGGATGTCCAAGAGGGACGCTACAAACCGAGGGTGTGTGTCTCTATCAACCTATTAGCTTGAGTATGGCCGCCATCTTGCGCAACTCCATCGTTGTGCATACGCGCCCACAAGCAATACTGGTAGCCATGATAACTGTGAGAAAATCAATTCATGGGTTTCTTTTTCTTTCCTATATGGGTATGGGGCTCCGCTTGGCAGAGCTCCGCTATAACAAAGTCAGGTCCATGCAAAGCAGACTGTAGATCATCCTTTATTTTTAGTATTATATATTTATAAAATTTATTTTATATTTAGTATTTTTTTTCCTTAATTGTTGGAATGTCATTTCATCCTAGAGTTGCCATAGACAATAATAAGTTTAGTAACAAAAGACCTGGGAAAACAACCATACTACTCTGAGGTATAGGGGCCAGGAGGCAGGCATTTGACATCCTTTATCTCCATACCTAGGCCAGGGTAGCTTTGTCCTCTCCCCCACATTGCTTGCACTCATATGATGATGATGATAACGATGATGATGATGATGATGATGATGATGATGATGATGATGATTTCAGTGCAAGAAGTAGATGGACCATTTATAGTCTAACACTGACAAAAGTAGATGAAATTAAAGTTCGCCAAGGACTTTTACTACAAAATGATTATGTGGTTCAACAACAAACAGAAATCCCAATTTAATAGGACTAAGCAGCAGATCCTTTTCAATGATTTTACACTACCCACAACATCTACTGAGGTGGAAATTCAGAATTTTCATAACACTAATGAAAAAGTATATCTACAACTGTAAAATAAGGGAAAAATTCCCACTTGGTAATCAATTCAAACAAAAACCAAATAATCAATGGAAAATCGAAAAAAGCAGAAATTGAATAGCTAGATCCTGATAATCAGCAACCAACACTGCGCCACCCTGTAAACAAATGTAATTTTAAAGTAATATAGAAATCTATGCTAAATTTTGTAATTTATAATTATACTGTACCCCAGGTAGCGTGGCTCAACAAGTGTAACCTTTCTACTGTTTTTTTAGTAATAATTATAGTCTTGTAATTAGTGTACTTGTATTATTTTCTATAGTGTCTGTCATATTGCATGTCAATGTAACCCAAAGCTGTTAGTTAAAGTCCTTTTTTCTGTAAGTAACATACTGTAAATTGGTTGTATGTAATGTGTAGACTGTAAATACTAATGCATAGATATGTTCCCCACAGACTGTTTTTTTTTTTTGTAACTGTAGTGTAAGCTTAATTGTAATTGTTGTAACTGTTGTAATTGTTTGAGCAAATGAAAAAATAATTTTAAAAAAAAACAACAAAAAACAACAGAAAAATAACAACTAAAAAAAGTTCAAGCATAATTTAACCACCTGGAATGAGTCTGACTTTCCTGAGACTAGGTTCCCACATGGGACAGTAGGGCACAAAGACGTATCACAAGCGGAGCGAGTTATGTGGTGTCTGTGCCATACAGAGTCAGCTAAATGTAGTTAAAAAGGCATCACCAGAGCAAGCGGGTGTGGTTTGGGAGGAGGTCAGGCGATGCTTGGTTCACTTTGCTCACCAAACCGTGTTTGCTTTACTCATCAACTTTTTATTTCCTATCACTTAGCAAGCCTTTTCACAACCCTGAAGTCTGACCACATTGGAAGCTGAAATAATCCAAAAGCAGTGAATTGCACAGGTGACCGATAATGGCATACTTGAACAAGCAAATGAATGCACTGCCTTATGGTATCCTTAGCAAATTAGCAGAACAGCTTGACATGTCAGGGCCTCGAAACTGGAAAGCTCTTATTGGTGCTATGCCAAGTGATGCTTATAAACCTGAACAGGTGAGGTAGTATTATTTAAATCTCCAATGTACTCTTTTATCCAAAAAGCTTTCATAGCCTCAGTTACTATGTTATTAAGTACCTTAATAACTTAGGGGCATGTTTGAGGACATTAAGAAGGCAACTGGGGCCATGGTAGTCTGAACTTTGTCTCACCCTTTGCCCTTGATAAGATTGAGAGGCTTCTCATGTTGCTTGAGTTGAATGATGTTCCCATCAAAGAAGAACTCTCCAAGGCAATCATGCAGATATCATCTGGCAGGACCCCAGGACAGGATGGTATCCCAGCTGAAGTGTTCAAATGTGGTAGAGGCCAGCTGCTTGATGCTCTCCACCAGCCTCTTTGCAGGTGCTTGGAGGAGGTATACCTGGCACAAAAAATGATCGATGAAAAGTGTAGAGTTTCTCGGCTCCTTTACGACCTCTACAGCTTCTTGTACACCTGAGTAGAAAAGTTCCATATAGTTTAGAGTAGAGTATGTCAGTAGATCTCTTAGTGTAGCATAGAGTAAAGTACAGAATACTGTAGAGTAGAGTATGTTAGAGTCATACGGACTGTTTAATTCCGAGGCTTTGATTCCTTCATCGCAAGGCAAATCTACTCCACTCTTCTCTACTCTCCCTCTCGACTAAATTCAGTGTACGCTACTCTATGCTAATGTAATATTCTATATAAGTCGCCATTTCAATACAATAAATCAATACCAATTTACTACACTCCGCTCTTACGTAAAGTTGTAATGCATTGGGAGACCTTCCTTCCTTTTTAGTGCAGAGTGCACTATTGGGATGGTTATGGGGGTTGCCTGCCGCTAAGGAACTAAGCCGCTATGACGCTATGGCGCTATGGCCCTCTGGCGCTAAGGTGTAAACTTTAATGTTTGTTTAATTAATTAATTTCAATTAATTAATTA